CATTAAGTGTATGATGCAGTCTATAGACATCTGTTCAGATTTGAAAACTTCTATAGTGTTTTCCAGCCTTAAAATGGAAAATGGAGTCTTCCTTAATTCAAAATTAGGCGTTAGATCAGCCGGAACCGGGAACACGTCCCGTAAATCCTGATGTACTTGGTACATCATAAGAAGGATGGCGTCTACACTAATATTAGTCTCTCTGTTTATCCCGAGGGACCCTCTATGGTGGACCTGAGCCTGGACCCATCCCAACTCAAGTGCAATACCGGCGTGATTAATTTGTCTTCTAAACAGATGAATGGATAAATACTCGAAATGTTCCGATCCGGTAATGCTGCCCGAATCACACATTCAAATGACAACTGCCCCCCAACTGAGTCTGGTTTCTCCAAAGGTTTTTTTCTCCATTCTCCAGTCACCTGATGCAGTTTTAGTTCCTTGCCACTGTTGCCTTGCCTTTTGGCTTGCTTAGTTGGGGACATTTAATATTCATGTAATGATCTGATTTACCAAAGGTGGACATTGATGCAGTTTTCTTCTAGAAACAAACTTCTTGTATTATTTTCATGTTATCACTGTGAAGGTGCTTTGATACAATCTGTATTGTAAAAAGCTCTATATAAATAAAGGTGACTTGCAGTTTCCATTTTGATTTCAAAAGAAGAATCATGAGGAGAGCGGGTGTTTTGAGCAGCTGGACTGAGGCTGCACCAGGTTGCGGTCGCATCTGACCTCAGATTATGTCATTTTTGATTATGTCAGATTATGCTTTGTTAAGTACTGTAACCTTATTAATAACTAGGTAGGCTAATCTCTCTCACCGCAACATGACACCATGACTTTTGCGTAAACATACACGCCAATTTCACGTCGAGTGGCGTGTTATCTCGTCGCATTTTGAGCTATCCGCATGTATTCGTGTATGTCTACGCCATTAACGTCCGCGTCATTCCGCGTGTCTGTACACGCTGTCAAATGTCAGAGCAAAACAAAGAAAAATGTACATCTACATCTGGGGAGCTTTCTTTCTTTCCTAGGATGGTAAGGGAACAGTCATAAATGCCATTAACCCCAGTGACAGTTAGGTTTAGGGTCAGGGTTGAGGTAAGTCATATATTTATATATACAGTAATAACGTTAAATCAACGGCGTTCATAAACACGCTGAAAAGCGAATGCGTGTTGATGGCACGCCAAAAATGGAAACACGCTACTTCATGAGATCCAACATGACATCATGACTTTTGCGTAAACATATACGCCACTTTCGAGTCAGGTGGCATGTATCCGCGTGTATGCGTATATGTCTACGCCATTAGCGGCCGCGTCATTCCACGTGTCTGTACACGCAGTCAAATCTCCAGTCATAAATGCCATTAACCCCAGTGACGGTTAAGTTTAGGGATGGGGTTGAGGTAAGTCATATATTTATATAACGTTAAGTCAATGGCGTTCATAAACACGCTGAAAGGCGATTATGCGTCTTGATAGCACGCCAAAAATGGAAATACGAATTGCCGTGTCATACACACGCTATTTCATGAGATCAGTCTGCTCACCCTCTTTCTCGACTCTGTGCCTTGGATAGTTTTGAGTTACATTTAGAAAAAACCTGTCAGATCAAAGTATATTTTTGGTTAAGTTATTATTTAACATGATTTTTTTAATTATTTATTATTTTTGAACAAACGAGGATCTCTGTTTAAGAACGTCGGCTCGCATCTGCAGGTTTACCCTGCTTTAGAGCACCGCAACGTATACATCTTCAAGTTTAGCCGAACCGGACGTCACAAGTTGATCTTCTTGTAAAAAAGATCTCATTGAGGAACAACACACTGTACTTTTTGTAATTTCATTGCATTTTTAATTTATAAAAAGTTAAACAAATAGTGATTTTTAATATAACTATATTTATAGATAGTCGATCGTTAATTCTCCTGACGATTGACAAACAAAATTTCATCGAATGAATACCCATCCCTAGTTACGATGTAACAAATTTGCATAGTCTTCATTGGCTGGCGAACATCTATTTCAACCACCTCTCAAAAAATATTTTCTGCTCTGAAAAAGCAAATTCTCTTTGTAAACACTTCCAAAGTGCGATGTGTAAACTTTCGACATTTGCTTCTTAGATCTCCACGAGTTCTAAACGGGATTTACAAAACGCTTATTGATTAAAGACATTTAATGCATTCTTACTACTTTGAATAATGATAAAGGATGGAGCAAGACCTGTTTTACTAACTTCAATAGGCTATTACATCGGTCATTCACGTTATTGCTCGGCTAACGTATGGTTACTGGTTACCTATTAAGTTCTGTATAAATTACAAAGTATTACTACTGACATAAAAAAGCCCTAAATGGTTTAGCTCCTGTGGACCACACACACACACACACACTTTACTGACTGAGGACATTTACTGAGTGAGGACATTTCATATAACAGGTTAATAATGTTTTCTTTGTCTTAGCTAGACAAGAAACATGCACATCATTACATTCAAATATAAACATTTGGCAAATTTATGAGCATTTTTAACTACACATAACATGTCTTTAGAAGTTGGTTATCGTTATATTTTACTACATCAGTGAAGATATTTGGTCCTCACATCACTCACTGACTCAAACAATCAATGTGCTCTATATTTCAAACCCCGGTCCTCTGGAAAAATAACTAAATAACAAACATATCAATCCACAGCATAGTGCCCAGAACTTGGCAACCCTGGGTTGAACATAAATTGCACTAAATTTTGCATTTTATTGACAATTTAACCAGATTTCTTACATAGCGTTACATCATTGCAATCATCACTGTATCATTGGAGTGAATGATACATTGATGAAAAAAAAGCCATTTAACAATGACAACCCTCACATTATATTAATATTCATAACACTTACACTTATATTAATATTCATAACATAACTATTATAGTCTAAATAACCCAGAATATGTTTATACCTGGCTACTGTTTGCTGAATTTTCTAGAAAGGAATATCTAAAAAGGCCGTTTATGATGAGGGCATATTTATTTATGAACTGACTTCTGAGGTTTACCAAGCCACTTCAGACTATCCACACGTCGCACTACGGTCTCATTTCACATCAAGGTGCACATACATGTGTTCAAAAACGGGATGAAACAGAAAACATGGGCCTCGAGAAGGGCTTTGAGTACAGACGCGCACAATCTTAGCGCATTTAGGCTACAGTGCAATTTTGAACTTGCAAAACATACTGAAAAAGATGCATTTGGGACTTTATATGTTATTGTGTGTCTTACTTTGAAGCTGATGACACGATGATGGCAGAGTCACGAGCGCGTTATGAGCGTAATGATGAGTAGAGGAACACCAGTCTATGAGGAAGACGAATAATACGAGTTGAAGATGCTGTTCGCGAGCAGCGCCCTCTGTTGGCCGAAAAGACGCACGACAGGCTCGACTTTCCGTATTACAGTGGTTCCCCAATGGCTTTCCAGTTGTTTGATGGATATGATGGGAAATTAGACCTACTTTTGAATATATTTTACATAGCCTAAAGTTTCTACATGATAAAATATTTTAGAGCTTGAAATAACCAACCTCAAAAAATGCATGTGCCTAATAAAATACAAAAATACCAAATATGGAAAATGGAAAAATACAAAAATGTAATTTTGTTTTAATAACGATCACTGAGAAATGTTCCATTATTTAAAATGCAAAAAAAAAAAAAAACATTTATTATTTTCAAGGTGAAAAGGATTCATTTGCCTTGATCCACGCCGAAAAAAACGTCTAAATGTCACGTTTTTAATGAAGTAGCTAAAAAACGTATTACACCGACGTTAAACCACGTTAACCATAACCTTTTAAATCCTCGACCTAGTTCCGTTGCTTAGCAACGGGAAGAAACTCCTGTAACTTCAGTGATTAGCACTTTTAGTGCTTACAGATTAGGAGACATTATGTGTTCACTGCATTTGTAATGTTATACTTTTAATTCCGAGAAGAAAAATGTTGCTGTGTTGGCACAACCCGGTATCACGACAAGACGTCCACTTTGGAAAACGTGTAGATGTCACGGTTTAAACCCATCAAACGTGAAATTTACACGTGCGTTAACACGTTCCAGTGGAGAGATACCCGCAATCGCCTAGAAAAATGGAATTTTGTTTTATTGACGATCACTGAGAAATGTTATATGATTTAAAATGCAAAAAAAAAGGATTCATTTGCCTTGATCCACGCCGAAAAAACGTCTAAATGTCACGTTTTTAATGAAGTAGCCTAATGAGTAAAACGTCTATTTTTCCGGCGTCCCCCAGCTCCTCGTTTAAGCAAAGGGTACGCTTAAACAACCTATTACATCGACGTTAAACCACGTTAACCGTGTTAACCATAACCTTTTAAATACTCGACCTAGTTCCGTTGCTTAGCAACGGGAAGAAACTCCTGTAACTTCAGTGCCCAATGGTTAGCACCTTAGGGCTTACAGATTAGGAGACATTATGTGTTCGCTGCATTTGTAATGTTATACTTTTAGAATAGGTTAACATCCGGGTATATCTCCACTGGAACATGTTAACGCAAACGTGTAAGTTTCACGTTTGAGGGGGTTAAACCGTGACATCTACACGTTTTCCAAAGTGGACCAACGTGATTATTGGATTAATTATCCGGATCATGATTAGCACGATGATATCATCTCAGATGTCTCATTTGATGTCAGATGTTTAAGCAATGTACGAAGAACGAGCCCCAGCTGTTCTTGTGTGCTTTTAATCGGAACAATAACAAGTGTGAGATGATTAATAGAAATGTCATGTGTAATTGTGCTAAATCGTTATTTGCTCAAGACAAGGAACTTAAATTAATGACAACTATGTTAAAACTTTGGATGTACCGGTCAAGAAATGATTGCCAGTGTGGTTTTGTTTTTGCAGTCAATCTTTCTCAACATGTCAAGAAAAAAGGGAGACTTAGAGGTTTAAATGGTAAAGATTTTTAATTAGTTTATAAATATTTCTTTTTTTTTTTAAATTCAGCATACAAAATGACAGTATGTACATCCACAGATAAGTGGTCCACTAAGGCCGTAATGGGTGACCCACATACTCTGTTCACATGCTCAGAGAGGTTTGGCATTTGAATGTCAGCATTTTTTTTATGTTGGGTAAAAATATAACAAGGCACAACACATATAGTCCAATGTCCTTGCTGATATACGTGGAATAAATAGGCTACAGGTATTCTTCCTCTAGAATTGAAGTAACCAACCAACAGATGGAAGCCATTGCAAAGTTCCTCATCCAAGAGCCGCATTTGAAGTTCCCTTTGCGTGTTCAGCACTTTCTTCATCTCGTCAGTCTCTTAAACAGTCTTAACTGGTGAAAGTAAAGTACCATCTGAGTTTTGAGGCCTGTATCCCTTAGAACTTGGAATGTGGAATCCTCTGGAACGTCAAGCAATTCCGAAGGTTCTAAAAAGAGTGCTTGAAATCAACGCCTTGTCAAAAATAGGGAAAATGTACCTTTTAACAAAATTAAACAAGGGACCCGGGTACTGTGTAAGAAAATAGACTTAAAATCTGGATTAAGGAGCATATTCTGTTTAAAAAGGACGGGTGTTTTTAACAAAAAACCATGTTCATTTGTGCACTAAAAAAATAAAGTCCAGCTTCTGAGTTGATATTTCTTAATAAAAGTCCATATAGCCAAAAATAAACCATGTCTTCTCAAAAGCATACAAGCTGGAAAAGCATAAGACAAAAGTAAGCCTCGTTGGTAGCATGCTTTGGTTATCTGTGGCCTAGTATGTCAGGTTGACAAAGGTTATGCTCCACACCCAGGCTGAATATATCTAGAACAGAATCAAGTCTTGACATTTTCAGCTTGTCTGGGAATTCGAATGAGAATTCAGTCCGGTTCTGTTCAAATGAGTAGAGCGCATTCCAGATCTTCTGTAGATTACTTTAGCTGAGAATAGGTACGTGTGATGGGGGTCAGCACAATTATCGGAGCAGACCGCAGAGATGGATAGCAGACTCATTTGCACACATATTTCTCCACAGTCCTCTCGCACTTTTTGCATGTGACGTAGCAGCACCAGTGGTATTTGCAGTGGCAGCGCTCCACCACTCTCTCTGAATAAGGGTTGTAGCCTCTGCCACAGCACATCAGATCACAGCTGTCACTGCCGCTGGAGGTCTTGTTGCACTGCCTGCACAACAAACAGACAAAAACAACTTTATAGTCCAGACTGGACCAACCATTCAACTCTGAAACTGAGGCTATGCACATAAAAAAAATAATGGGTTGACGTCAACTAGTTCTACTAGTATAATTGCTCTGATTGGATGACTTTCTCAGGAGATTTTTAGATAATACTTTAAGGTCATCTTAAAAGTGAAATTTGTGAGATTTTTTTAATAGAAACAACATCTATTTATTTATCATTTTTTATTAAAGTCAATTTTAATTATTTGGCATTATTTTTTATCAAAACTTCATATTGATGAATTTTTTTTTTAGAATAAACTGCAGATATATTTTCTATATTTTCACGTTTTTATATTTCTGATAAAATAGTAGCCTACTTTTTATTACAGTTTTTCATAAAAACTATTTTTAAAAACATATACAATGTATTATATAAGTACTAAAAAAATATTGTATGACTATTTTTAATCAACACACTTAAATATTAAGGAATATTAATTTTTAATTTCGTTTTTAAAAGACACAAATCTGGAAATCTTCAAAAAAATTTCTATTTTCACAGTTTATATTATGTATTATTTTAAACTATTTAGACATTTTAATATTGAATGAATGATAAATTATAGAAATATTTTCAGAATTATTTTCTATATTTCTCTATCATTATCTTTTTTTTACATTTGTAAAATATAAAACAGCCAATTTGTCCCGCTGATTAAAAATGTATCAATACTTATGAACGGGGAAAAAACACACACTTAGATGAAAAAAAAAATTAAAATTAGGGCTGTCAAACGATTAATCGCATCCAAAATAAAAGTTTTTGTTAACATAATATATGTGGGTGCACTGTGTATAATTATTTTTTTATATATAAAAACACACACATGCATGTATATTTAAGAAAAATATATTATTTCTAAAATATTTATATATAATATAAATTATATATAAATCTATATACATGACATTTTTTCAAGCATTAAATATATACACAGTGCACCCACATATATTAAGTAAACACAAACTTTTATTTTGGACGCGATTAATCTCAATTAATCGTTTGACAGCCCTACTTAAAATGTCCTGACTAGTCAGTTGTTGGACAACTAACTCCTATTCAATCCAGGAACAAGACTTCAAAAATACATTTACACAAATAGATGACCAAAACATCCCTCTGTGACCATGAGAGCTATTACTAAACATAAGCGTCTTTTCAAAACCAAGGTAAACATTTAGCTCAGCCACATATTAAACCAACAGCACTAAAACTTCTTATAGCTCGTTTAAGAGCCAGTTTGTACCCAGGGAACATTTTCTTCTCTTGCATTTAAATCTAGCAGGAGTGGATCTCGCAGACGCCCTCATGTACTGAAGCCCGAGGCATCTGAGCAATGAATAGCCCTGTCATAAATCACACTCTATACACTAGGGGTCGGCCTGTGTGTAACCCTCTCCGTGTAAGTGCATTGTTTTATAATTGTGTGGTGTTAATGCTCAGGGTGCTGAGAGACAGACCGAAGGCATGGCTACTATGAGAAGTGAAAAATGCTGTTATTTAAAACTAAAGTAAAAGTCTCTCCCAGGTCAATGCTGAAAGGCAGGCAAACAGGACTCGACGAGTAGCATATATTCAAATGCTGGAGTCAAAACTCAAAAACGTTTATAATTTATGAGGAGTAGGGGGGAAAAAAGCCAGAATTTAGCACACTTTCCTCCTAAATTGCTAATGTTCTTCAAGTGATCTGGTTTTACCATCAATGTATCAGCTGTGAGCAGAACTTTAAATTTGACCTCAAAGTGAAAACACATTTTTAAACACATCTTTTAAACAGCGCTCACAGATTGTTTCTTCACAGCGATACCGATCATCTCTAAGCCTTTGGGATGTTGTTCTGTCTGAACGTCTAATGCGCCAATTTCATTAATCACAGTCTTGTGGCCCACAAAGCAGCACAGGAGAGCAATGTAACTATAGATGAGACAGATGAGATACGCTTGTCACTTGGTCTCCATCCATCTCTCATCGCCAAATCAGATTAGAGAACCCGACAGGTCTAGTTAGGGTAACACTTACGGCTCATTATCTTAAGACCTTCCAAATCACAGAGAGGATGTGCAATGATAGCAGCTTCCTGACTGCTTCCTGACTCACATTTCACCCCCAAAATCAAAATAAAATTCTATTATTGTGCCGATATTATATATAGTGCTGAATTTGTTGTGGAATATGACCTGGTCTTGTTGTGCACAGGTTTCATGAGACCATTATTTTATGGTATTATGCTAATTGACCATCTGAGAGCGAAACAAATCAATGAAATGTGAGGACTGGAGATGTTGTAGTCACATGTTTTAGAGACAGGTATGGGGTGATGGGTTCAACAGAGGAGCTGAACCCTCTACATACCAGAGACCACCATGGAAGCAACATGTGCGACGCACACAGTTCCCTGTTGACGTTCTCTAATGATTACAAAACACACCAGTGTCTTGTGACCAAGTGCAAAGCACTAAATATATGAACAGAGAGCGCATGTGAGTGGTCTTATCAGGACTAATGCTGAGGATGCATACTGTGTGTTGAGTGCACCTGACATACAGCATGTCTCTAGGTTATTTGTGCACTGACCTATAATACCTATACGTAAAGCCTAAACGGTTACAATGTTCAACGGGAAATATTAAGTTTGAGAATTATAAAACATAAAGTTGAGTGAGATGAGTCACGTTCAAAGACATTGTGATATAACTGACACCTGATGCCTACTCAGTGGGCATATTATTATGCAAACATTATTTAAAGGAGTTGTTAACTTTAAAAAAAACTTTTGCTGATAATTTACACACCCCCATGTTTTTGATGAAAACATTCCAGGATTTTTCTCCATATAATGGACTTTAATGGGAACCAAACGGTTCAAGGTCCAAAAGACAGTTTCAGTGCAAACTGCAAACTGTTCAAAGGGCTTTAAACGATTCCAGACGACGAATAAGGGTCTTATCAAGCGAAACGATCGCTCTTTTAATAAATAAATGACAAAGTTTAATTAGAAGTGTCAATTGTCAATTTAAGACTGTGAATTGCACACGGTTGCTGAAAAATCATGTCATATGATCCAATAATTCCACGTATCTTAGCCAAAAGCAACATTACAGAGCACATTTAGATGCTAACATAACAAAAGCAAGGAAGCTGAGGTTACCCCATTCTTCCCTAAATCTATACCTGAGTCTCCACTGATAAAGCAATAGGAAATAAGCAGGAAGAATTCATTGTCGTGCTAATCTGTGTGTGCAGTGCTGGTATCAGCTGAGAGCTCTTAGCTCTGTGAATAGCTGCATTACTCACAGACTGACTCTCTGATAACGGTAAAGAGGACACAGTCACTTTGGACACGCGTGTACACACAGACTGATCCTCTATGCTTTATCAGGGCTTTTAAACAACAAAATGGTGCCACCAGAGAAGAAAGAGAAGAGAGTAAAAGAGGGACAAAATAAACCTTATGAAGTGACACACTAAAAGGTTGCATCCCATCTATAATGACATGAGCATTGTGTTTTTAAACAACCTACTTTAAGTTAAAATAGTTTTAAAAATGTGGAATAATTGGCTTTTCTAAACAAATCAGCAAGTTAAAAATGCTTTTCAGCTTTTTCTGGGCTTGAAATGTTTGCACTTCACGATATGTTTTAATGATCAATCATTACTGTCACATTCTGAAGTACTTGTGTCCATTCCAACTAAAATTACATGGAGTTTTTTTTTTTTTTTTTTTAATTAAAATTATATGATATAATAAATATACTTTTTGCTTCAGGGTCTGTGGAAATATTGGCGGGGCACTTATGAATTTGACTCTGAGCTACCAAATACCACATGAGCACTTGTGTGAGCACTGACGTATGTAATCTGTTAACTAGTCAGTCTCACTCTGGAAACTTGAAGGTCATATATACATAATTGTCTGTATTTCCTAAGCTATGTATGATTATACAATGTCGTTATCCAGTGCGTTTTTTTTTTATTTTTATTCTTTTCTTTTATAGTTGGATTGTTATACGCTTTGTTAAATGTATTTGTTAAATGTAAAATATATATCCTTGTCAATTGTTAAAAAATTCAATAAATACATGTTTATAAAAAAAAAAAATAGTTAGTCTCACCTGTCCTGAGTACCAAAAGAGCCCATCTTGTCATTCCTCATGCAAAAGTCTGGTGAACTCTGAAGATAAACCAGCTCGTTCTCTCGGACTGGCCTGATGTCGATGTCTTTGGGGACGAGTTGCTTGCGTGTGCCCATGGGCCGATGGACCACCTTAGTGGCTGACAAGTACTTGGTCTTCAGATCCATTGCGATGTCTTTCAGGTCCTGTAAGCCTCTCCAACAGGTCCGAATGGAGCAGGATCCAGAAACACCGTGGCATTTGCATTTCATGACCAGAGCGTCGCGCAAAGCCTGCGTAGGAGGGATTGGGATGGATTCAGATGAAGTCAATAGTAAAAGGACATTATGACAATCTACACAGGGAACGCAACATACTAGAGAATTTGGACAGCTTTTCTGCATTATCCATGCCATCATTGTGTCCCAAATCAAGAAAAAGATCATACTCAAACGAATAACCAAAAACTCAATTTCAATTAAGAACTTGGTTTGAAATCAAGTTTATAATTCCTTGACCGATTGCCTGTCAGATTAAGGGTGTGGTCACATTAGCAGTATTTCACTAATATTTCACAGCCAAAAAAGGTAGATTGTCAATAGTGTCGGATGTAATAAGAACAGCTCACAGAAGTGACTGTCAACCAATGCAGCAAATATATCACTAACTCAAACAAGAGCGAAATCTCGTGGAAACCTTTTCGCCCTGATGCAAAACTCCCATGTAAATTCTTGTTGGAATGTCCCGTGAAATTTTGCCAAGCAACAATACATGTGAACGCGCCTTAAAAGGTAAGTTCACCCAAAAATGTAAATGAATTTAGACGTTTATTCACATTTGAACATTCATCAACTTACACATCAGCTGTGTTAAACTGAGGCTCAAGCATGTTCGCTTGACGTGCATGAACCAATGAGGTTCATTCTCGTGTTACATAGCACGTTTGAGCTTCAGCAAGAACCAATGAGGTTTGTTGAGATTTGAGATTCTGATCAATGTTCATATCTGAATAAAAAACTCAATTAAAGGTGCTGTATGTAACTTTTCTTCTAAAATGAATCCATTTTTATTCCCTGTGAGTAAAGGGGTTGTAATCACACATTACAATGATCCACTTGACAGGTTTTGCTATTACCACCAATGTGAAGTCTCTGGGTGGAATTTTCTGCGAAATCCATCGGATGTGACGTGTATGCACGCTCCCGAGCCTCTCTCCTTTTATATACAGTCTATGCGACGTGGAGTCTGATAACACCAAAACACTCCTGCCTCCAGCACAACACACACTCCAACACAAACTACCTACGCTATTTTCATTGTGATAAATTACAAGTTTTCAGATATGCTGAAATAATGGTAAACTGTAATGAAATAGCAAGGTAAACTACAACATACATGAGACATGAACTGAATACAAAAGACTGTTTCAGAATAATAAAAAGTAGGTGCTTTAGGATGAAACTTTTATTTTCTGTACTAGATCTACTGTCTAACGTCACTCATCCCACTACTATCATATTGTTTATAATACACATTTCCAGACACGTTCAGTAATGGTACTTCCTTCAATCTTACTGTAAAACTGAAATTGTTCAGTCTAGTTCACTAACCGTTTTCATTATCTGTAAAAAAAATCGGTAAATTTTGGACTAAACCACTCAAATCATATGGATTAGTTTTCAATCTCGAAAATCTTCATTTGTGTACCGAAGATGAATGAAAGTCTAACAGGTTTGGAATGACATGAGGTTGAGTAATTAATGACAGAAATTCATTTTGGGGGTGAACTATCCCTTTAAGCCTCGAGTCTTTCATAGTGAATAATTGATTCCATGTGGTTTCTGTGAGGTACCGCTTACCTGTCTGCCCACTTCGCTATTGTGAAGATGCATCAGCTTGTTGGCATGCGTTCCAGACTTCTTCTTAAACTTCATGGGTGCATCAGAAAACTTGGAACCCATAAGGAGGCCATAATGCAGGTTATCAGCACAGCCGCCCCACCTGTACCCAGGCTCTGGTATTTCACCAGGAATCGGACCACACGAGCACAACCTCAGGTCTCCCGAGGTGCACGCCCGTGCTATAGTGTGACTTATAGCGGCTGCAGAGAGAGCGTATACAAATGCAGATTCCCTTGTTCCTGAAAAAAAAAAAAAAAATGATTAAAATGATTTGCTAATATAAAAAAATACATGAATTCTGAACTTTTTTCCCTTTTAGAAAAGCAAGGCAACATGAGAAACCCGTCAGAATGCAGTATGAAAGGATAATGGCGGAGATTGCTGGACTGTTCTCACAGTGCACATATGTCATGACAAGATAATAGGTGTAGAAACTGGAGAGGCTCAGCTTGACCCCGTACAAAGTACATCAAAGACCATCTCCTTAGCGGTGCACTTATGAGAAGCAGGAGCACTTTAACTCTTGACAAATGTGAACGGTCTACGAGTTCTCTAGAACTTCAACCAGATTTAATTTGACCATCTCCAGCGTTCGGATCATGCTAAAAGCTCTTAATAAATAAATAGGGAGGACGATTAAACCATCCGTCAAAGCGAAGCATGCACGTGTCAGCGCCGTGTGGAAATTCGAGACGTGACGCCACAACATTAATCCATGGAAAAGCAATGAAAAGTGGACAACACGATATCTCTTGACTGTTTTATGTAATCGATTACTTTAATTTTTTGACAGCTAAAAAATCACATGGGGTCGGAGACAGGGTATAATTGTAGGATTCAACAACAAAAAAAGGCAATTCTCTGTCCATTACTGACTAACTCACTCAATAGCATCTCTCATTGAATAGAATGGATCCTATTGTTAGTCCTCACAGCAAACGCTTCTCCTCTGTGAAGCCGTACATCAAACGGAGCAAAAGAAAGAAGAGCGATGTGCAAGAATTCCACGGGTCGGAGGTTTCCGGGTGAGCAGGGGTACGATTTCTTTTATCATGCAGCGAGGCACTTAGGCCCAATTGCAGCATTTAACTGGCATAGTCTTCGTTACCCGGAGCGAGAGAGTTTAAGGATCACCGTAGGCTGCTTTCTAAACCGTTGCCCTCATAAAGTTCCCCCTCATCAATTAAGATGGGCTCCTCAGACCTATTAAGGCCTGAATGGAAACCACACTCGGGTATAAAGGGAGGTGTGTGGTCACTTAAATTGCCTTGAAGGAACTGGCACTAGACGGACAGTCACATTTAGGCCTTACTGTGTCTAAACAGAACATCTGTGGATAGATTTCAGAAACGGTTCACACAAAATAGCCTTGACTTGGAAATAATCCTCTTTGGACATGATTTTCCTCTGTAACTCACCTCGTTCCAGGTCCGGGAGGAATTTCGGAGTATCAATAGAGGAACAGTTCCAGCGCATGTCTGCGAAGGTCTTTTGGCAGACCTTTTTAACCTCCCGTGCTGCTTGGATGATGGTTTGCATGAGTTCCAGGTTACTCCTACAGAGCTGAGCCTGAGAGGAGACGAGGCCTGGCAAAGTCTTGCAGTGCTGGGTCTTGTTGATGTGTTGTGTGGTCTGTGATAGTGCCCTGGATGAGGAAAGGCATATGCTTCGGTGAAGTCTTTTGAGGTGAAGAATATGTTTAATCAAATTTTATATCAACAAGTTAAACCGAATTTAATTGTTTGGTGGTGTGAAAAGTGATCTAAATATTTGTGGCAACTCAAATAAACATGGTTAAAGCCAACTCTAAAATATTAAGAGTAGCATCGACGTTTGCGAAAGCGTTCTCGCACGCATTTAGGCTGCGGGCTAAAATTGTTCAGTGTCTCGCTCGCAAAGGCATGCAAACAACAACCCATTCCCAGAGATAATCAATCAAGATTACAGCAAATGGAAGAAGATTATTTCTGCATCACTTGGAACCCAAAAAAGCAATTGCCAATGGAAAAGGATGTAGATTTGTTCATTGTTAAAACTTTAGACAAAGCAGAAAATACTAGACGAATTTTGCCAGGTCAAGTCACTATAAAACCCAAGTCATAGATGTAATCTTGTAAAAACAAGAAATGATAGCAAAACTTCTGTGACCAAAATCATTAAAGACAAACGATCTTCATATTAGTGAGACTTTGAAGTGAAACTTGTTGAAACCTATAGTGATTCCAGTTTTATTTTACTGTGTTACACACACACATGTACTACTATTCGTGAGAACCAACCAATGCCCGCTCTCTACCTATGCCTGTTTCAGATTAGGGGCCGCCACTTTATGTTCCATGATACGCTGTGACTGACAGACCCCTGTCTTAACCTCCGCACACACACACATACACCCTCTATCTTTGTTATCCAGGGAACACAGGTGTTTATGGCGGCATCTGTTTTGTATTTCTTGCCATGCAATATCAAGGCTTTGGAAACCTCTACCAGCATCCAGTGCATGCGAAATGGCCTCTTCACATCAAAAGTATCCACCGTCATGTTTTCCATTCCAATGTATCAATTATGTGAATACTAATCATTCTGCAGAAATTACAAGTAACTGGGGAATAAGTGGTCGACTGGATTTACTTTTGACTTAAAGGAGTAGTTCACTTTAAAAAAAAAACTTTTCTGATAACTTACTCACCCCCATGTCATCCAAGATATCCACGTCTTTCTTTCTTCAGTCGAAAATAAATTAAGGTTTTTGATGAAAACATTCCAGGATTTTCTCCATATAATGGACTTCAATGGGAACCAAACGGTTAAAATGAGAGTTTCAGTGCAGCTTTGAAGGGCTTTAAACGACACCAGACGATGAATAAGGGTCTTATCTAGGACCTGTCGAGTCATGACTCCAAAAAAGATTTGTTCATTTTGATGAACGAGTTCGAACAAGAGAGTCACGAACGCTCATCACGGAACAAGGCAAGCATTTGTGCTTATAAAACGTAAACTTTTTTATTTATCTTTTTATCGCTAGATAAGACCCTTATTTGGACCCTCTCATTTGGACCTTGAACCGTTTGGTTCCCATTGAAATCCATTATATGGAGAAAATGCTGGAATGTTTTCACAAAAAACCTTAATTTCTTTCGACTGAAGAAAGAAAGACATGGACATCATGGATGACACGGGGGTGAGTAAATTATCAGCAAAATTTTTTTTTAAAGTGAACTACTCCTTTACGTAATTAAGATCAAATTCTGTGAAGCGACTTTTTCCTAATTAAAAGCCATTGAAAAAACATCTTGAATGCGTTAAACAGTTTCAGTATATATAGAGAGAAAGAAGCAACTCACAGCCATTTGATTCCTGTGCACTGCTGAGACAGGAGCAGGAATGTGAGAAGACATAGCGGGAGTGAAGGGAAGGTTCGCTTCATGCTGTACAATAAGATCCAGCTCGATCAGAAGACACTGACGCAGGTGCTCGCTGACCCCACTGCTTTTTGACACAATTATAATTAAATGCCAAAAGCCATGACACTTGTTCCTTCCTTCTGTCCCTCTCCTGCTTTAAAAAAAAATACATCAATCACACACATTTGATGGTTGCTATGGAATGTGCACTTGACAGAATTTTTAAAAACAGATTTTACACACCGCTTTCCTATTGGATTCCTATCCAAATAGTAATTTTGCATTTTAAGGCCGTATTGTTATTATATTTGCCAATTCTATTGCACTACCGCATTAAAAAAAAAATAGTTTTTGTATCTCCTTGAGAAACAGTTAAGAAAACGTCTCGGTTACGTATGTAACCCTCGTTCCCTGAGTAAGGGAACGGAGACGTTACGTCAGAAGTGACGGAGATTGGGGGTTTCGCATAGAAAGCCAATCCTCTTCGAGTATTAAAACACGAGCCAATGGCATGCAATGCCTTGGGGCTGCGGAAATTTGCATAGCGTACTCCGCCCTACTCCGTGAGTATAAAAGGAGGAAGTGAACGCAACCGCAGTATGTCTTCGCTGAGGAGCCAAGACTGAACTCGGCCTCTACCCAGCGATACAGCAGAAGTGGCAGGGAGACGTAACGTCTCCGTTCCCTACTCAGGGAACGAGGGTTACATACGTAACCGAGACGTTCCCTATCGTAGTCACTTCGAGTTACGTCAGAAGTGACGGAGATTGGGGGTCTGTGCCATCACGCCATCTTCAAGCTGTCTTCCAGTGCCCTGCGAAAGACTGAACCCCCGAGCCTTACCTCTTTTTTTTTTTTTTTTTTTTTGGGGATCCGACTTTGACACAGGATTACCAAGGTACACTGGGAAACATATCCCGAAGGGGACATGCTACCAGCTGCCTACCGAAGGGAGGACTTAAGAATACACATATGGCCACATAGGGACACATATGGAACACTGGAGTACCAACCGCAGGTGGCTACTGATTTAAACTCCAGGGGTGGCAGATGGCTTGCCAAGGGAAGACACATGCTCAGAGAGGCTTACAGTGGATAATACACATGAGACGGTTACCATGGGGAACCGTGCGCATGGAGGCACCTAGCTAGCATCCAGAGCCACGCAGTGGTGCCCGCATCGTCGGTGCTGGAGGACTCAAGACTTCAATGGAAGAACTGAGGAAATATCGCACTTATCCAGTCCGGGGAGTGGAGTGGCGAGCAAGCGAAGACACCTGAGCGGATCCAGAACTGGCCGAAACGAGTACGTGAGAGGATACCGGCTCAATTCGCAGATTATAGAATCTGGCGAAGGTGTTGGGTGTCGCCCAGCCTGCAGCTCTGCAGATGTCTGTTAGCGAGGCGCCGTGCGCTAAAGCCCAAGAGGAGGCTACACTCCGAGTGGAATGGGCCGTCACACCAAGGGGCACGGAAGGCCTTGCTGCTGGTAAGACAAAGCAATGGCATCCACTATCCAGTGGGACAGCCGTTGCTTTGAGAGAGCCCTTCCCTTCTGGCTCCCTCCATGACAGACAAAGAGCTGGTCTGAGGTCCTGAAACACTGCGTTCTGTCGACATAGGTGCGGAGAGCACGTACCGGACAGAGCAGTGCCAAGGCTGGGTCTGCCTCCTCCGGGGGCAGCGCTTGCAGGTTCACCACCTGGTCCCGGAAGGGAGTGGTGGGAACCTTGGGCACATATCCAGGCCGGGGTCTCAGGATCACGTGAGAGTAAGCCGGCCCGAACTCCAGGCACGCTTCGTCAACGGAGAATGCGTGCAGGTCCCCCACCCTCTTGATGGAGGCCAATGCAACCAGGAGTGCTGTCTTCATGGACAGAAACTTTAACTCTACTGATTGCAAAGGCTCAAAGGGATGCCTCTGCAGAGCACTTAAAACTACCGAGAGGTCCCAAGAGGGTACGAGGGGAGGACGAGGCGGATGCAGCCTCCTCGCTCCCCTCAGGAACCTGATGACCAGGTCGTGCTTCCCTAAGGACTTACCTTCCACTGCTTCATGAGAAGCGGCAATGGCCGCGACGTAAACCTTAAGGGTGGAGGGCGACAGCCTGCGCTCCAACCCCTCTTGCAGGAAGGAAAGCACGACACTGATCGAACATCTCCGGGGGTCTTCTCCGCGAGAAGAGCACCAATTGACGAAGAGGTTCCACTTCAACGCATAAAGGTGTCTCGTGGACAACGCTCTTGCGGAAGTGATGGTTGCCGCCACCGCAGGTGGCAGCGAACTCAAACCTGCCTCGTCCCGTCCAGGAGCCACACGTGCAGCCTCCAGAGATCGGGACGAGGGTGCCACAGAGTGCCCCGTCTCTGAGAGAGTAGGTCTTGTCTCAGAGGAATAGGCCAAGGAGGTGCTGTCGCGAGGAGCATGAGATCGGAGAACCACGTCTTGGTGGGCCAGTAGGGGGCTACCAGCAAGACCTGCTCCTCGTCCTCCTTGATCTTGCACAACACCCGTGCAAGGAGGCTCACTGGGGGAAACGCATACTTGCGTGGGCCCCGTGGCCAGCTGTGCGCCAGCGCATCCGAGCCGAGAGTGCCCCAGGTCAGAGAATAAAACTGGGCGCAGTGGGCTGAGTCCCGGGAGGCGAACAGATCTATCTGTGCCTCCCCGAACTCTTTCCAGATCAGCTGGACCGACTGGGGATGGAGTCGCCACTCGCCGGAGATAGGGCGGACCCGAGACAGCTCGTCGGCTGCCCAGTTCCGGTCTCCAGGAATGTGAACTGCACGAAGGGACCTCAGGTGCTTCTGACTCCATATCAAGAGGTGGCGGGCGAGCTGCGACAACCGGCGCGAGCGTAGACCCCCCTGGTGGTTGATGTACGCTACAGCCGTAGTGTTGTCTGAGCGGACAAGCACATGCTGGCCCTTGAGCAACGCTCTGAAGCGGTGCAGGGCGAGCCGTACTGCCAGCAGCTCGAGGCAATTGATGTGCATGAGGCGCTGGGCCCCCGTCCAGGAGCCGGCGGCTGCATGCCCATTGCACATGGCACCCCAACCCGTGGTAGATGCATCCGTGGAGACGATGAGATGCCTGGAAACTCGCTGAATAGGGACGCCCGTCCGTAAAAAGCTGAGGTTCGACCACGGGAAGAAGGTTCGCCGGCATGTCGGAGTCACTGGGACTCGGAGCGAGCCGCGATGCCATGCCCACCTCGGGACTCGATCGCGAAGCCACAGCTGAAGCGGTCTCATATGAAGCAAACCGAGCGGCGTTGCCGCGGCCGCGGATGCCATATGCCCCAGGAGCCTCTGAAAAAGTTTCAGTGGAACCGCACTCTTGCCCTCGAACTGACGAAGACAAGTCAGCAGTGAGTGCGCGCGCTCGATCGTGAGCTGCGCGGACATGGCGACCGAGTCTATCTCCACGCCGAGAAAAGAGATCCTCTGCACGGGGCAAAGTTTGCTCTTTTCTCGGTTGACCCGAAGGCCCAGACGGGCTAGGTGCCGGAGCACCAAGTCTCTGTGTTCGCAAAGCTGAGCTCGAGAGTGTGCTAGTATCAGCCAGTCGTCGAGATAATTCAGGATGCGAACCCCGTGTTCGCGAAGGGGAACAAGGGCTGCCTCGACGATCTTCGTGAAGACGCGAGGGGACAGAGCTAACCCGAATGGGAGAACGGCGTACTGATATGCCTGGCCCTCGAAGGCAAACCGAAGAAACGGTCTGTGTCGAGGTAAGATGGACACATGGAAGTACGCGTCCTTCAGGTCGATCGCTGCAAACCAATCCTGATACCGAACACATTCGAAAATGCGTTTGGCCGTGAGCATTTTGAACGGTAGTCGATGGAGAGAACGGTTCAAAATGCGCAGGTCCAGGATCGGTCGTAACCCACCGGTCTTCTTGGGGACAATGAAGTAGGGGCTGTAAAACCCGGACCTCACCTCGGCTGGAGGGACCGTCTCGATTGCACCCTTCGCCAGCAGGGTCGCAATCTCCGCTCTCAGGACTGGGGCATTGCCACCGACTATCGTGGAGCGAACTCCCCTGAAGCGGGGAGGAGACCGTGCGAACTGAATCGCGTAGCCGAATCTGATCGTTCTGATGACCCAGCGGGATACCCCGGGAAGCGCTAGCCAGGCTTCCAGGAAGTGAGCCAACGGGGTCATGTGAACCACAGACGTCCCCCGGAGGGGCAGCGTGGCGGGTCGACTGGCACGCGTGCAGGGGTTACCCCGCTCGGATGCGTCGAAGCCCGCTCCCCGACAGAAGGGACCAGGGAAAGCGGAGCGTTCCACGGGGGTCCGTTCTGCCGGGGGTCTGGCGAGAGAGGGGGAAGGGATTGGTGTAGCCCGGGGACGACACACGCACCCTTCCGCGCCCTCCGAGACAGAGAGGAGTGAGTGGGCCGACACCCTGGGGCATCGGGGGCACTCACTCCAGTCTGTGAGCTCAGTGAGGATGTCAAGTCTTTCTTTAACCAGTTCAGGGTGCTGCCCACCCGTGGGTGAGCAGCGGGGAGCTGAGAACAAAAGATTCTCCCCCGGCCCTCCACCGGGGGAAGGAGGGGGCCTGCTACCGCCTCCTGTGAAAGACTCGAGATCGTCACTGAGCGGCCCGTGTCAGGATCTTCGCTTGGCCTGGCGTTTAGCGGGGCGAGCGGCCTGAGGGGGCTGTGACGCCGGCCTGCGGCCTCCTCGACGCCGGGGCCCGGGTGAAGGCTGCTGCTGGGGCCGGGCGGGAGGGAGGGGAGCCGCAGGGGGGCGTCCTCGGCGGCGAGCAGGGGGAGGCGCCTGTGCCGACGACTGGGTGGAGGCAGCAGCTGGTCGTCGGGGCAGGATGTGTTTGATGGCCTCCGTCTGCTTCTGGGCGGTGGAGAACTGATGGGCGAAGTCCTCGACCGCACCGCCGAAAAGGCCAACCTGGGACAGCGGAGCGTCGAGCAGACGAGTCCGCTCAGCGCTCCGCGTATCCGACAGGTTGAGCCACAGATGACGCTCCTGAACCACGCTAGTGGCCATCACCTGACCAACGGCGCGAGCAGCCACTTTCGTTGCCCGGAGAGCAAGGTCAGTGGCGGACCGCAGTTCTTTGAATGCCGTCGTGTCAGTCCCGCCCTCGTGCATGTCTCTGAGCAACTTCGCTTGGAAGACCTGCAAAGTGGTCATAGCATGCAGAGCGGAGGCCGCCTGTCCCGCCGCTCTGTAGGATCGCGCCGCCATAGCAGACGAGAACCCACAGGCTTTGGATGGGTGCTTAGGAGGACCACGGGTGGAGGCGCTCTGTGGACACAGCTGCATCGCAACAGAGCGCTCCACCGGGGGCATCCCAGTGCACCCACGGGCGGCCCCGCCGTCGAGGGGGGAAAGGCGGGGGAGAGATCGCGTTCTCGAGTGGACAAAGGAGCCCCCCAAGAGCGCGATAACTCCGCATGCAGCTCGGGGAAAAAAGGTATTGGAGTCGGCCGTGGCTTTGCAGCGGCAGCCTTGTCCAAAAACCAATTATCCATCCGTGAGAGGTCGGGGCAGGATGGAGGTTTCCATTCTAGCCCGATACTCCCAGCGGCTCGAGACAGCATGGCCGTCATCTCGGGATCTGACGCGGACAACGCTGGGACTCCCGAAGGAGGCAACGCAGCCGGATCTTCCTCTCCCGAGGAATCAAGCCCGCCTAGTGATGCTGTGATAGACATCGCATCATCATCTGGGGCGCTGCTCGAAGCAGCCGGTGCCGCCGAAGAGACAACCGACCGAGTCGAACTAGCGCCCGCTGGCTCACGCACTGAGGCGGGAGGTGTGGCCCGAGGAATTGTCGGGGCTTTATCCCACACCGTCACCGTTAGATCGCCCGGTCCCCGGGTCGACGGGCCCCCTCTCGTGAAGGAAGCCGATCGAGTAGGGGGGACCGGGGCTCTCACTCTAGTGAGATCATTGAGCCGCGACCTCAGTGTGGAGATGGTCATGGTCCCACAGAAGGAACATGAGTCATCCACGAACGCTGCTGCTGCATGCTGAATGCCCAAGCAAACAAAGCAGCGTTCGTGACCATCAGATGACGACAGAAATCTACCACATCCAGAAGGGCACGGGCGAGCCATCTTTAAAAAGACGTGCCGCGTGCAGCTCTTTTACAGAGAGGAGAGAAATTCACTCTTTCAGCGCTGAGGCTACCAGGGAGAAGCGCAAAGTCTGGCAAACCACTGCACAGATCGCAGGCAATGCAGAATCTCGCTGGGTACCGCCGTCACACCAACACTGAAGAGGACGCTCGTCTCGAAGAGTCTTGATTCAGCTTTGAGGAGTGAAGAGGTTCTCTTGGCTCCGAAGCGAAAACATACTGCGGTTGCGTTCACTTCCTCCTTTTATACTCACGGAGTAGGGCGGAGTACGCTATGCAAATTTCCGCAGCCCCAAGGCATTGCATGCCATTGGCTCGTGTTTTAATACTCGAAGAGGATTGGCTTTCTATGCGAAACCCCCAATCTCCGTCACTTCTGACGTAACTCGAAGTGACTACGATAGGGAACACTATTTACAAAAAATCAATTATTCTAAAGCAAAACTCTATTTTTTTAATAGTATGTTCCAATACTTTTTGTGTTTTTAAAATTGCAAAGTGTTTTTGCAAATTTCAGAAATATAGGTGTGGCGATTTTTGGAATGTTATCAAATGTTTTCAGATTATTCCATTGGCTGGAACAGGAGGGCAATAAACAGATACTACCTCCCAGTGGACATGCTGTCTGGCCTCAGGCATGATGCTTTCACATACAGACAGTGATTGTCCAGATAGAGTTGTTGTTTTTCCCCCTCCTGGCTATAGACCTAGCCAGACAACAATTACAGCTACATATGCACCTAATGTATCAAAATTGTTAAATGTAATAATATGTATTAGCCTACACTTAAAATGTTTTCTGCTGTTGAACTTGCTATTCTAAAACGTTTCAAATGGTTTAATTTACGTATTAGTGCTTTTATCAACAACACATTTCCAAGTAGAGATTGTAACTTGGACAACACTTTGATTTTACAAACAAACTAATTTATTTATTTATTTGCTTTAAAGAAAATTTAAACAATACAAGTGTATCTATAATCTATATCCCATTAGATATAGCTACGCCTATACGTGGTTTAGAGATTTTAGATATTTTTCAGAGCCTTCATAACTAAACAAACCTCATTTATGATATTGATAACGCCTATTTAAAGATATGAGCGATAAGATTAGCCTATATTGTAGCAAAAGCAATAAACTGCTGTTTTACTCTTGCGCTTTCGCAAAGATTGCACTTTATCTTTTATCTCCTGTATTTTCACCTGGGGGGAACCGAAGTAAACTTAAAATGTAATAAGCTAAGTTCACTATAACCACTTTGGGTGGTCTAGGTACTATTGCAGATTATAGTCCTGTCAATTGCAATTTGCACCAGTGATATTTAAAAACTACATCTTTGTAAATAAGAGACGCAATCAGGCGTAAAAACTTTGTGCAAAATAAAACGGGCATCCTCACCTTTATCAAACAGAGGCTGACGTAAAAAAAATGCCGATTGTGCAAAGTAATCCAAAAGTGCGTTTTATTTAAATCCAGCCAAACTTCTGCAGTTAATCCTTTTTTGTGTAGTCCGAGTGAGAAAGCATCACGCAACAGTCCAGTGATAAAGAGAAGTGTCTGTGCTGTGCTGCTCGCGCGCTGGAATCTGCTGGACTGACGGTGCACGCGGAGGTCGAGACTATATGAGTCCTCGCGCCACTTTGATCTCGCGCTGATGTCAGGGGCCATTAGCATAACAAAGTGGTTAAGGTTACGAAGCCAAAGAAAACGTTGAAAATATGATCTGTGACACTCAGACATCTCGCTACTTTTGACACGGAATTCCAGCGGTTGAATTGTGGGTCTTTCCTCGAAAAAGGTGCGTTTTGTGTACCTCATGAATATGTGTGTGTAAACGAACGGTGACTTCTTTAACAGTGACATCTGACACAACATTTTATTATACTTTAACTTCCTCTTCTGTTTCCAAATTATTCTTAATTATCCAAATATCCTCCTTTATGCTACACATTTCGATGGAAAAAAAAACATTGTAGGCTATTTATTCTCTCTAGCCTAAGTTATATAATTCTTCACTAAAATGGTTGACAATTCCATACAAAAACGGTCATGATGACATCATCCGTGCAGGATATGAAATACTCCCGTAGAGGTGATTTATCATCACTTTATCTTGTTATTTTGTCAGGACATTATTTTAAATAGGCTAGCCCATTCTGTCACCATAGCCTATACAGTAGCCTAATGATTATTGAAAGCGGTAATATTTGAAGAAACATTAGCAATACATTTTCTTCTAATAAACCACACATCATGCAATTGCTAGCATATATTTTTAATAGGCCTACGTACCAAGTTATTTTCTGCACTGCAATGAGAATAGCCTAAATTAAGTAAGAAATCGGGAAATAAAATCACAGAATTCGCTACAAAGTTGGAAATATGGCAGTTCCAGTGGTTGCATGGTCCATACAATTATAGGCTATGCTAGTTTCCACACTCCTGCCATTTACAGTGCTGTAGCCTACACGGCCCATATTGGCCACTCCAAAAACGGCAAAGGCAATTTTCCAAGCACGCTAATAATGATTTCCACGTGATGAATACATCCCGATGCACGTTTCATACTAGCCACTATATGACAAAGGTTCTTCTACATTTCACACAATAAATGATTTACCCTTCAGAAATACTCCCAGTAGCCCATTGAAGTCCACATCTGAGCAAAGATATTTCCTAATTTATAATAATGAGCTGTTAAATTCTCTTGTTATTTTTGGTCTATCAAGAAGTCTAAAAGAGTCCATTAAAGGATTCATTATCCTTACAGATTGCTAATAATAAATATAAATGTGTTGAGAAAATATTTTTATAGAATAAAAAATAGTCCACTACGTGTATACATTTATTACAGTTCCCACCACACACAATGGCCACGTTAATATTTTAACCATCTAAGGTAACTGTCATTTTATTAGTGTCTATGGTGTAATAAATGTCAAGATGTTCTCTGGCCATATGCTTCTCTTATTAACCTGCATGCTCTCTGGTCCAAAAACGCCTCCTGCAGTGAATTCCGTAACACACACACAAGATTCCCCTGTAAAACACACCGCACAACCCAATTTTCAAATAACGACGCAATTAAAATACGTCCATTAAGAGTTTTTCCACTGTTAACAGTAGCCTATCTGTTTTATATAAAGGAGGCAATTCCACTGATTTTGTGGTTAAGTGTGTGAACGCAGCGAGTATGAATTTGAGACAAATGAGCAAGAAAGAAAAAAAACAAGAAAAACAAACATAAAAGCTACAGTGCAAAACAGGCATATACTGCGTATAAAAATTAAGGGAAAATTACTGTAAAGTACTACATAACAATACACCATTACAATAGGTCAATAAAGACACTTAATTTAACATTAAAAAGTCTGCTTGTGTATTAATGAATACCTTTTTTCATACCAAAATACATTTCTGCAAATGTTTGAATGAGGTTATTCTATGATCCCTTTTAAAATCAAAAGAAACTGAGTGGATTTGGGTCAAAACTGTTAAAAAAAATGTGTTCAATTTACGGTAAAATACAAGAAGCTGTGGTTGCCAGAAATTTACAGTATAAAATACAGTAGCAAGACTTTAGGGTAACAAGGTTTTACAAAACTTAACTTAAAATTTACAGAAATAAACCATATTTATTATCTGCTATAATGTTAAATTATTGACCAATTGAAATATTAATATCTGTTTCGTACTATTGTAATACACTGATAACTACCAATCACAGTAGTCGCATGCTAAATGGATGCTCATCACATGAAAAAACTAAGCTGCACAGTGTTATTCACTCAAACATTAACCACCATCATGGTCACACACATGAAATTTTAAAAAGTCAATAAAAGACAATAAACATTAATTTAACAATATCAAATGTCACATAAAACCCTAACATACATAACGGTTTAGAAAAAACTATGAAGAATCAAGTTATTTCAACAAAAATACATCAAATGTGAAGTGTCACGCAGGGAATTGTGGGAATGTCAAAAAAAATAACCGTGATTTTAATGGTAAAATACTGTAAAAATGCTACAGTGCAAAACTGTTAATTGGTAAACAGAAAGTTTCCGTACTATACACGGTAAATAACTGTGATATAATTTTACAGTAAAATACTGTTAAATTTGCAGTTTTTGAAAGTGAAAAAGAACAAATCATTGTATAATTTACAGTGAAAACCCGTAAATTGACATTCCCACAATTCCCTGTGTGACACTTCACATTTTATGTATTTTTGTTGAAATAACTATGGTTCCTCATAGTTTTATTGTTTTTTTTTTCTAATCAGTTATGTTCATTAGGGTTATATGTTACATTTAATGTTGTTAAATTAATGTTTATTGCATTTTTTTAATTTCATGCGTGTTACCATGATGGTGCTTAATATTTGTGTGAATGACATTGTGCAGCTTCTTTAATTAATTATTGCTTTATACAAGTATTCACTTGTGATGAGCTGTGATTGCTCATGTAACTCTCATCACTGCTGTGATGATTGTTGGTTGTCAGTGTATTACAATGGTCTAAAACAGATATCAATACATCAATAAAATGGTAAATCCACATTTTATCAGAAAATAAATTATGGTTTATTACTGTAAATTTTAAGTTAAGTCTGTAAAACCATTAACGTTCCTACCGTATTTTTGACGGTAAAGTTCTGGCAACCACAGCTGCCATTTTTTTACCGTAAAATGTACGCTTTATTTTTTACAGTGTACGTTTTTTCACTGTAAATAATATGAGTTGTTAATTTTCACTTTAAAAACTGTAAAATACTGTTATTTTTACAGTGTTTAAAGTGAATATTAACAACTCATTGAAAAATTACATGAAATTTACCCTTATTATTACATATGGTAAATAACTGTGATAGATTAGATAAAATTAACAGTTTTTCACTGTAGCATTTTTACAGTCTTTTACCGTTAAAATCACAATAATTTTTTTACAGTCTGGACAAACCCAAATGTTGGTTTAAAAAATGCAATTAAAAAAGTTGAAAGTTGAAGTTGGGTTAAAATTTTAAATTATATTTTTAACCCAACATTTGGGTTTGTCCATATTTTACCCAATTTTGGGTTAAAACAACCCAGCATTGTTTACAGTGTAACTGCGCAGATCTCTTTTCTTGCGTGTGTATGAGGTAAATGCCTGCCGCTACTTATTTTCTAGAACTGTATTTACTTATGTATAGTAAATCATGCACTATAACCTTGATTGAACCATTGGATGCCATTCCTCACACGTCTTATTTCATAATAAGGCATACTGAGGGATGTCAGGAAGAACCAAATGTGATTCACTCCAAAAAGGCATGCGAGATGGGCAGGGTATTGGAAGCACGGCTATTCTAGTTTAATTGATTTAAGAAATAATCTAAAAAAGTAATCCTTCTCTCACAGCTGAAACCAAAGCAGCGAAGAGCAGAAAAGAGGGCAGCGTGTATATTTAGAGCTAATCTGATACTCTTAAGAGCTACCACCGCCAATTGCTGAAGCATGACATTTTCATTCACTGCCAAGCTGAACCATTTCAGCTCAATATAACGTGAAATGCCCGTGGAGCTCTAATCATGACCCAAAGCGAATATATGCCGTTTCGCTAAACTCATCTGCCCACAGCAAATTATATGCGGGAATGGGAATTAGCCAAGCTGAGGGGGACGTGCCGGAGATAATAGACTTTGAACATTAATAAAAACCACAGACCTTATTTCCGAGATCCAGTGCATTCTGAACATCAACAAATGGTACTTTTTATTGATTTATGATACATAATTACCAAAAATGTGCATTCACATCTTTCAAAGAGCTTATTTTCAGGCAGTGTGGAGCCATAGGAGCGTGTTTATGGAGACTTACGCCCTTTTTATGAGGGACCTGAAAAGCATCTAGTAGCAGTGAGATGTGAATGGGCATGAACTCTTAATGTCAGGTTAAACCAGACTGAAGACTGACTAACAGAGCTGTGACCTCCCTGGAGTGTCTCTGTTTGAGGTTTTAACATGCAGATTCTCAATTCCTCCCCGTACCAGGATCAACACCACACACACTTTGATCTTCAAGCCGAGAGTCTTACATAGCCTTGGGCTGGTTCACAGAGGGCAAGAAAGCGACTTTGGTTTATATAACGGGGCAGGAAAATACATGTGCTTTGAATGAGAAAATGTCTTTTTTATATATTTCTTGTTTGAAATGTTAACTCAATTGAGTCATTTTAGATATTTTGTGGCGAGAAGTTTAATGCCGTTACTGACTAATGATTTAAGGTTTTGCATAATGAATCATTTGCGGCAGCTGTGCCGACTGGTCAACGCTATTTGTCTTCTATCTGAGACATCATCAGACACAGTGCCATTTCCCCTGACACATATTCAGATCGTTCATTCAGAGCTTGTTGAAGGAGTGCAGAGACGCAGTGCCCCCCGTCCCCTGACATCTCGGGTCTCTAACAGCTGTCTCCTGTCTAAGTGACTGTCAGCGGCGCAGAGCTAGAACTGCGCGGATAGATCTGAGCGCCACGTCTCTAAAGATGTAGAGTTACGTGAACAAATAAACCTCAATTGAAAGCAAATATGGATCTCCCTTAATGCGTTTTAGTTTAAGTCAAGTCAAGGATATTTATATAGCGCTTTTCACAATATAGATTGCATCAAAGCAGCTTCACAGTATCAATCAAACATAATAA